AGCATTGTTAAAGTCGATGGTATGATCAAAGGTCCAGGCATGTTTCGCTACATTGGAGCCTTTAGCACATCAGCCTTTAGCATATCAGAAATACTAAACAATGTGCTTAAGGCTCCAATGTAGCCTTATTAGCATGCGGTGTTTTATCAGATATAAACACACTGCAAGTGACTTATTAGCATGCAAGAAAAACAAGCCATGAACAACCGTTTAGACTCTAAAGGATCACGCTTTGTGTGGAATGTTTTTGAAGCCGTTCAAAACACTCGCAGCATGTGTTTCATCGGGTCTGAAACCACTCGGCTGCGCCTCGTGGTGTTAAATCCGATAAAATCCTGCTTCTTGTTTTTCTGGGTTGGAAGTGGAAAAATTGGATCATGCTTATTCATTATACCTTGCATTTGTTCCCGAGTCGTTTATTATTCATTTAAAATTCCAGCTCGATATTCGTAATTCCTTTTTCTTAAATTTTATTTTAATTTATATCAGCGTTGCTAACGCAGTACAAACTGTTCCCATGAAACTTTCGTTCGAAGTAAGGAACTACATGGTCAGTGGTGACGACAGTGCGAGGAAAGGTACACAGTTGTCTCTTACTGAAGAAAGGTACATTAATAAATAACCAGAAGAGCAATTGAGATCTCGATAGGATCAGTTTATTTCTTCTGAATATGTTACTATTAGCCGGCTTAAGTGCAAAATTTACCGCTGGGGGTAACCCTGCGATGGACTACCATCCCATCCAGGGGGGGATGGGGAGGAGTAAAAATACTCCTGGTTGCTCTATGCTACAGAAGTAAACCAGATATAACCACAAACCTGATGAGCCGCTTGACTCGTATACAGACTCCTTTATGTAAAATTATTATATGCCGTAAAATTCCTCATTTACAATGGAGGCGGTCATTTTGCTTAAACAACAAGTACATCAATGAGAAAGGTAGCTGCTTGAGTTTAACACATCAACATTGACAAAACCTGCAGCTTTTCCTTGATTCTTTCATATTTTTTCTATCTTCTATTTTGCAGAAATTTCACTGTGTATAACATTATTTAACTGAACCTATTACGATATACCATTGTAATATCTAGGTTTCCATGCAGTATATACAATTCACCATTTCCTTTATCCAATTCTGAAATATTTACTATCATAAATGCAACCCAGTTACGCTTCCTAAAGCGTCTTGTTTTTAAACTAGTCTAATGTCGGAGTTTGTGAAGAAATCTTGAATATTCTAATTCTACATAATAAAATACTACAACATTAAGTCTTAAAGCTATACAAAATTAATATACGCCTTTCGAAAATAGTCGCGTCGTCTAATGTTTTTTAAAACAATCGTATATTCTTCGGAAAGCTAAGGAGTTCCAAAGAGTTGGCGCGGATACCGAAAA